ACAACCCTGTGAGCAGACCTCCCACCATACCCTCACTGACCACTCCAGGGCCTCAAACCTGTTCCACAAAGGCACTTGGGGAACCAACCAAGCATCCTGAACACTTGGGGTTGCTCAGGATGGCAGTTACCTACATCACCTATCCAGGACATATTTTCACACCTCCTCTCCTCTCAAATTTCCTCACTCTACTCAGCAATGACAGGGCATCCATTACTGTCTTGCAATTATCACCCCAGTGCCTTTCTTGCAGAGATTTACACCACAAGTCTATCCCCTGCTCACACACTCTGATACTCCTTACCTTCTCAACATCCTTCTTGAGTTCCACCACCATAAGAGTAGGTCACCCACCTCCTCACACAGGCAGAACCCCTGCCCCCATTCTCCAGCAGCAGTAGACTCAGGTGCTGCAGCAAAAGACTTGAACCTCCGCTTCTTTAGGCACAGACTCGTTTCAGTCGCCACCGTCTTTCTCACCAGCCTTTTTCCCTGGTGCAGAACACGGCGAGATACGCTGCCCGCGAGACGGCCGATAGACGACCGATCCAACATCGGGCAATAACATTACCCCCGCCCTGCTCGCCGCACTCCCTAGCGGCAGCTTTTATACATGCAGGGGGTGGCTCGCCGCTGCTCCTGGCTCCGCCCCTTCGGTGTCAGATCGCCGCTGCCACGCGGGGAGCAGCGGTGTGCGGCAGCTGCTCGCTGGCAGGGCTACTCGTCAAGCAGCCGAGGCGGTTCCCTGTTGCGGTGTGCGTCCGCTCCGTGCCGCGTACCTCGCCAAAAACAAACAAGCAGATAAAAAAGCAACAACAACAGGCTCCATATGTTATTCCCCAAACACAGTATCAGTATTTTAAGCGCTCACAGAGCCGCTCCCTGGCTCCACGCTCTGCACCAAAATCAGCTGTAGTGCTCACTGAGCTGCGGCAGCGATGTTGTCTCCTGCTGAAATCCCTGAACTCCAGAATATCCTGCAGCACGGTCTGTGGTCCGTGGCTGGGCTGAGATCCTTTTTGGTGAGAAATTGGATTTTTTCATTCTTTCCTATCCAAATCTGAGGTCGCCTTGCAATACTGTAAATATTCAGAGTAGCCACGTGGAAACAAAGTCTATACCAGCAAGGGAGTGAGGGGAGAAGACAAAAATCACATTTGCTTAAAAAGAACTGCAGTTTCTGGCATTTTTGATGAGTAGAAGGGAGTGGGGAGAATTCAGTCTACAGGCATTTTACTGTGTAAAATAAATTGGTATTCCGTAACAATTATTGACTTTGTTAAGATAAAGGTGAATTAAAAGTCCATTTGTCTGTTAAATCATTCAGGCACCTTCCACACAGGTGGTTAGAACTCAGTAAAGATACAAGTCATTATTTCACATATTTTAAGGAAAATATGCATGCACAAAAAGAGTGACTATATCTGATCATTCTGATCTGAGTTCCAATTATTTTTGTTTTTTTCTTTTCGTACCAATTTCTGCTTGATCTTAATGACATTTTTGGATATAGAATAAATATGAGGCTGTACCACTGATTATCCCTGAAATCACAGAATCACAAAATCGTAGGGGTTGAGAGGGACCTCTGCAGATCATAGATGTCCAGCCCTCCTGCTAAAACAGGTTGCCTACAGTAGGTCACACAGAAAGTATCTAGACAGCTTTTGAATATCTCCAGAGAAAGAGACTTCGCAAATCCTCCTGGACAGGTTGTTCCAGTGCTCCACCTCCCTCAATTTAAAAAAAAAAAACCTAAATGGAGAAGAAGTATAGAATTGAAGAAGAGTAACAAGGTAGAGAAAGTAAATGTAAAAAAAAGGGAACAAAAAAAGAATTTTCACATTTCACTCCATCTGCTTGTAAAACAAATGTCTCTCAGTGGATATCCCCTTCTCATCTCGTTGGCATGAAGATGGGAACCAGGATGCTGTATCACAGCCCCATGGGTGAACGCTGAGCTGTAACATCGACAAAGAACAATGTCACATCCAAATGGACCAGCCGACACAACCAGGGTAGCATCCTGCACAGCTCTCAATTTTCCTGGGCTCCCTTAACAAGAGCAGCTGATTTCACAAGCTGCAAGAAAGAGCTCGTTGCAGAACCGAGAGGCTTGTGTTCAGTCAGTTCATACGCATGCTCCTTCACATGCCCACGTGAAACATGGGGAAGATTCATGACTTATATGTGCCTACAGTACTGTGAAGCACAGGTGCATTTCCAGAAGATAAGTCTATGATGTACACCACTGCACTCATTAGTAAGGTGACTAAGTGTTCAACCTGAGATAAACTACTCCCTTTCCTTGGTTTTACTCTAATCTTTGTACAGCAAGTTTAAAAAAAAAAAAAAAAAAAAAAAAAAAAAAGAATTCAAAATGCTGCCACCTGATTTGTCCCCATGTTTTTCAATGTCTCCACTTCCAATATGACATCTACCATCACTGAAAGTCCAGACAGAGTGTGGAACAGCCATTCAAAAACATTTATGCAAGGCGTCTTCCCAGCCTGAGTGTTGGGGTTGTGCTGTGCCCAGCAAAACCCTACAGCTGCAAGGAGAGAAGGACTTGCAGGGTGCCTTCATAAGATATGGTCTTTCCACTGGCCATTTATACTTCTGCAAGATGACAAAGTTCCTACTGCAGCTGACAGTTTTCACAGAGATGAAAGCTATCAGTTACTGTTTGTCTAGCTAGCTGAGTATCTTGCTTTTCCTGAATTGCCACATGACTGCAGATATACTACATTCTCACAATGTTCATATCTTATCATAGTCCAGGTACTAGTGAGCAGTACACTCAAATTTGAGTTTGTATTCTTTCCAGTCATATAAATAAAGTTAAGCTATCAAAAGATACGCAAAATGCGACACATGGACCTTGATGAGGAGACTCTGTAAAAGGAATAGAAAGGAATTAGAAGGCAATTGGAAGTCTCATAACTGTCAGAGGGGGAATAAATTCACCAGCATTCAGAGGCAGCTAGCTCTCAGGATTCATCGGAGCTTGAACTTGGGTACCTGATCAGCCGGTCTAGTCAATGGGAATTGTTTCACAGTGTACCATGGGATTTCTTCAACAGCTGAATCACTTGCCATTACCTCAGTACAACTCAAATGGAATGGTGTTGTAAAAATTGACCTCAGACATTTAGTCAGTCTTGGTAATGTTTAGTCACGATGGATTTGTTCTAACTTGTCAACCAGAAAGTGTAATCAGCTGCATTTCCTTGCTTTTAGAAAGTGGGCAAGGTCATATGTGGAGCCAGTGTATAGTTTTGAAAAATGGAACTGAGAGTTGTGTTACCTGCGATATTGAAATCCTTACTCCCACTTGCTCCCATCTAAAACTGTGCCAATACTGACAGTAGACACCAGTGAACCACCCCCCCATCCCCAAACCGAAGCTCCCACCAATCAGCAAGCGTCAAATACATCACTGCTGTTAATCAAAATAAAGGTGGTGGTTTTTTGTTTTTTGTTTTTTGGGTTTTTTTGTTATTGTTATTGTTTTTTTCTTATGTCGGGTTTTTTTCTTTTTTTTTCTCTGTTTTCTTTCTCTTTTTTTTTTTTTTAATGGAAAAAGAGACCTTTGATAAGATTTATGATACAAAAATGAACAGGTGGCCAAATGAGCCCCACTTCTATACTTCTTCCCATAATATGAACTCTGGAGAAGAGAGGGATGTATCTGAAACACATTCAATGACATGGCTCGTTTCAGAGAAAAACATACTCCAGGCAGTTCAGGAACAAACTGAAATTAGATTACTTTTCTCCTGGAGTGACTGCGCTTCTTTGTGGACTTCGTATTTTTCTCACAGTTATTTTCCAAGCTTCTGGTCTTAGAATTCAGGGTGTTGTTCTACCAATGGCCTAACTCTAGTCTATTCCTGGCACACTGTATGGAAGCCTTTATGTTAAACATCAGTTCCCAAAGATTAACTGGTACCATGTCACGAGCAAAATCTGCAAGGTTTCTGGAGCAGGAAATTTTGGTAAACGCCAAAAGGGGAACAGAACCATTCAGCATTTCAGTTCCATTTTATTGCAGACAACAAAGACTCATCTGCAGTACCTCTTTACACACAATACTGGTTTCCTTATCTGACTCAGACAAATCATTGGTAATTTAAAATAACATGAAAACTTAAGCAGATTCTCTGTTGGAAATACTTGACACTGATCACTTTAAGGTAGAGAAACATTTAGCGTGTGTGGTTGTGTGTTGAAAAACTGATTAAGAGCTCATAGCAAGCATGGGACAATAACAGTAAAAGAACAGAAGCCTGGTTTCTAACTAACAGTGAGATTCAGACCTCAAAGTCTCACAGCATGATGTGTGATATATTTGCTGTTGACTGACAGCGGCTGATCTGGTGCACAAGTTTGAGCTCAGAGTAATCCTGAGAGCTAGATGTCTCTGGCTGCTGGCAAATTCCCTCCCTCTCTTAGAACTATGAGCCTGTCACTAGTCCTCTCCCTTCTTATTCCCCTTCCTCTTCCCTTTGTTTTGTCTGTGCTTTTCCCTTCTCTTTCCTCCCCTTTCTCCTTCCCTTGGCCCTTTCCTATCCCTTTTCCTTCCCCTCTCCCTGCCCTTTCACAATCCCTTCACCTTTTTGTCAGTGTGCCTTCCTCTTTTCCTTTTCCCTTCCCTTTCCCTTCCCTCTCCATCTTCTGGAATCCCTTCTTCAAGCTCCAAGTGTCACATTTTGAATAATGTAGAACTATCTTAGTTTACATTATTGGAAATAATATAATCCTAAATTTGGATGCTTTGTTCAGAGACTGCTTGGTATATGATAAGGTATAAACACTGGGAGAAGGCACATTATCTTCAGCTGTGGGGCAGTTCAAGATAAAACAAATGGGAATATGGATACCCTGTTAGCTAGACAAACAATAACCGATAGCAGTCATCTCTGTGAAATTTGTCAGCTGCAGTAGGAACTTTGTCATTTTGCAGGAGTATAAATGGCCAGCAGAAAGACCACCAGCCTTAAGCTGAAGGCACCATGCAAGTCCTTCTCCTCCTTGCAGCTGTAGGGCTTTGCTGGGCACAGTATAACCCCAACACTCAGACTGGGAGGACGTCTATCGTGCATCTCTTTGAATGGCGCTGGGATGATATTGCTCTGGAGTGCGAACGCTATTTAGCTCCTTATGGATTTGGAGGAGTTCAGGTATGTACTTTCCTGCCCACAGGCAGTAAAATTGCTTTGCAGCATTTGCTTAACAATCCAAATAGCCAGAATTGCAGACAATGAGTTCCAAGTAACTTTCTTGTTCAAAGCAGGGATGGGAGATCCTGCCAGCCTGGTACGAGTGTGTGTTTAGCTGCAGATCACCTGCAAGAGGGCTTACTTTTCTCTGATATGTTTGCTTACAAAGCTAAGTTTTTCTCTTCTACCAAGTCAAGTACACAGGTATACAGAGTTTCGGCCGTCCAAAGGATGTCACATATCCAGGCAATCCATGATAACAAAGGAGAATTTCCTTGATGCCAGTCTACAAGACTTACATTTTGCAGACCTGAACTGTCTCATGGAAATGACAGGCTAATCTCAGCACTGAGCACACCTTATTGCACTTAAAACATGAAATGGGAACTACAGATTTCTGACTGAGGTACATCCTTTCACCCGCAGGTTTCTCCTCCAAATGAAAACATTGTCATTACTAATCCGAACCGGCCCTGGTGGGAAAGGTACCAGCCCATCAGCTACAAGATCTGCAGCCGATCAGGCACTGAAGATGAATTCAGAGACATGGTGACCAGGTGCAACAACGTTGGAGTAAGTGCCTTAAAAATGCGTAGCCGATACGCTGAGAAGGGCGGTTTCTGTGGAGCAAAGTTGCCGCTCCTATTCTCGAAGGAGGGTTAAACGGAGAGTAAAGGGAGGCGGATGAAAGGTCACGCTGACAGCAGTGATGTAAAGCTCCAGCTGATGCTTCAACAGCATCACAACACAGACTGAATCGCAATTGCTCCTTTTCCAGGTTCGCATTTATGTGGATGCTGTTGTCAATCACATGTGCGGATCTATGGGTGGCACAGGCACCCACTCAACGTGCGGGAGCTATTTCAACACCGGGACTAGAGATTTTCCCGCGGTGCCGTACTCTGCCTGGGATTTCAACGACGGCAAATGTCGGACCGCCAGTGGAGACATCGAAAATTATGGGGACATCTACCAGGTAACTCTTGTTGATTTCGATTTTGATATTTTTTCTCGTTTAAATCTTGATGTGTACAGTAAAGCCAAAGAAAGGGAGTAGTTTATCTGGGGTTGAACGCTTAGTCCCCTTACTAGTGAATACAGTGGTGTACATCATAGGCTTCTCTTCCGGAAACGCACCTGTGCTGCCCAGTACTGTAGGCACTGAGAAGTCACAAACCCTACGCATGTTTCACGTGGGCATGTGAAGGAGCGTGCGTCTGAACCGACTGAGCCCAAGCCTCTCAGTTTTGCCAGCGGGCTCTTTCTTAGGACTTTTGAAATCAACTACCCTTGTTAAGGGAGCCCAGGAAAATTGGGAGCTGTGCAGGATGCTACCCTGGTTGTGTCGGTTGGTCTGTTTGGACGTGACGTGGGTGACGGTTCTTTGTCAAGGTCACAGCTCAGCGTTCACCCACGGGGCTGTGATACAGCATCCTGGTTCCCATCTTCAGCCTTCATGGCAACAAATGAGGAGGGGATATCCGCAGAGAGACATTTGTTTTATTAGCAGACGGAGTGAAATGTGAAAATTCTATTTTTGTTTCCTATTTTTCTCTTCCTTTTTACTCTTCTTCAATTCTGTACTTTTTCTCCATTTTGATCTTTTTTTTCTTTCTTCCTTTTCTGTGTTTAATTACCCAGGTCCGGGATTGTAAGTTGACCAGCCTTCTTGATCTGGCTCTGGAGAAGGACTATGTACGCTCAACAATTGCACAGTACATGAATCGCCTCATTGATATGGGTGTAGCAGGGTTCCGGATCGATGCTGCCAAGCATATGTGGCCTGGGGACATAAGTGCGTTTCTGGCCAAATTGCACAATCTAAACACTCGGTGGTTTTCAGAAGGAACAAAACCCTTTATTTTCCAAGAGGTAATTTCCATTTTTTTTTTTACTTTTTGCCTGTTTGTCTACCATGTATTGTGTTTACTTTTTTATCATACCCCTTCTGAGGAACGGAAATAGTGATGTGTGCTTGTTCTTACAAAGCAGGAAAGATTGTCAGTGCAGTGGGTCACGGACACGTGCCCTTCAGAACTGCAAGGCATCATGAAATCTTCATGGGGATTAGTCTAACTAGGAGGTGGTACGCTGCAGTTTAGGAGAACAGTGAAGCCCCACGTTTCCACGTGATTTCATCACATATAATTAATCCAAATTTGGTTGATATGACTGGCAGAAATGAATGTGCTCGTCAATACATTTTTCTTGATCTAATGCTACAGATAATGGTGAAAGCTGTGCACTACATTACTGATTGATTCTGTTAAAACACAAGTGACGCTTTTTCCCATGCCAGGTAATTGACTTGGGAGGAGAGCCAATCACAGGCAGTCAGTACTTTGGAAATGGCCGAGTAACAGAGTTCAAGTATGGTGCAAAACTGGGGACGGTGATCCGCAAGTGGAATGGAGAGAAGATGGCCTACTTAAAGTAAGGGCGAACGTCCCGCGACCGATGTGAGATAAGCTGGATGCGTGACATGAGGGGGGAGAATCAAGTCCTTGTGTTTTTCTCTAGGAACTGGGGAGAAGGCTGGGGCTTTGTGCCTTCTGACAGAGCCCTGGTCTTTGTGGATAACCACGACAACCAGCGGGGGCACGGGGCAGGCGGAGCTTCCATTCTTACCTTCTGGGATTCCAGGTGGGGAATGGCGGTGTCTGGATGATGACGCTTACTATTCTCTTTTTTGGTCTGTCGCTTCTTTGGCATCGTTTCTCTTCCACGTTCTGTTACGTTTTTTGTCCAACAGGCTTTATAAAATGGCAGTTGGTTTCATGCTCGCTCATCCGTACGGGTTCACGCGGGTGATGTCAAGTTATCGTTGGCCAAGATATTTTGAGAACGGACAGGTGAGTTTGTAGCGCTGAAGATTTTGGCGTGTCAAATGTAAATGATTTCTCTGTCCTGTGCCGGATCTGCCAGATGGACTTCTCTCTCGGGATACTCTCTGTGCATTTTCCAGTAAGGACTTTAAAAAGTTTTTTTTTTCATTTAAGGATGTCAACGACTGGGTTGGACCACCGAGTAACTCGGATGGATCGACGAAGTCCGTGACAATCAATGCCGACACAACCTGCGGCAACGACTGGGTCTGTGAACATCGCTGGCGACAAATAAGGTGGGAGGAAGACGTAGGAAAAGCAGTGACTCTCGGGTCACGCGCATCGTGGCCGTAGAAGTCCTGCAGCCACAGCTCTTCCTTGCATTTTCAGGAACATGGTTGTCTTCCGTAACGTGGTAGACGGTCAGCCTTTCTCAAACTGGTGGGACAACAATAGCAATCAAGTAGCTTTTGGTCGTGGCAACAGAGGCTTCATTGTCTTTAATAATGACGACTGGTGAGTGATTTCTCGGAAAGCTACGTATGAGTTCACAGTAGAGAAGACGAGGCTGTGGGTAGGATACGGCCCGGGGGTCTAAGCATTAGCAGCTTATGTTCTGGTGGTTATGGGCAGAGAGGGTAGTTTATCACTTCCCTCATCTGGCCCTAGCCAATGTAGTCGTGCCAATGCAACCGTAATGGTGTGAATGATCCCAGTTAGGGGGTTAATTACTTCTGTTTAACTGCATGCATCCTGCTGTAGGAGCTGTCTGTACGCTTTGGTTTTCTCCTGTCCTTTCCGGACAGTGAGACCAACCGCTACAGCCTGAGCTAGATTCACGCGGTTGCGTTCTAGTTGTGAGGGGCTAAAAAGGGAGTTTAGAGAAACGGGGCCCTCAGACCGAGAAATCCCTTGCGATGCGTCATCCTCACAAGTAGCAGAATTGCATCGGGCTCAACAGTCCTTTACCTGCTTTGAAATTCCTCTTTTGAAAGCCATGCTTTAAGCAATGTACTTTTTGCGTAGGTATATGAACATCAATTTGCAAACGGGGCTGCCTGCCGGTACCTACTGCGATGTTATTTCTGGAGATAAGAAAGGCAGTGCGTGTACTGGAAAGCAGGTGTATGTTGCTTCGGATGGAATGGCAAATTTCCAGATTAGTAACACTGACGAAGATCCATTTGTTGCAATTCACGTTGATGCCAAGTTATAACTTCAGTTGCAATTTTTTTTTCTGTACTGTTGCTTTGTATGTATACTGATTGTGCCAGTTTTGATTCCCTGATTTTCAAGAATGAATGATTCTCTATGTCTAGCAAATAATAAACTGCTACCAAACTGAAATATAATGCCTTTTTCTGCTAAGGAATTACACTGCAGCATTATAACTGCTAGACTGATACAGTCATAACTGTTAGACTGATACAATCCAGTCCTCACGCACCCTTATTGGAGCTACATTGTGAATCATCTGCTGCAACATTTCCCACAGTTACGGTTTGTCCTTTCTTTTGGACAAAGCAAGCATATATCCCTGGTCAGCGGTTGAATCTGGGCCATCTGTCATGCGAGTTGGTGACTTGATTCACACTCAGTTTATGCCCAATGTTCACACCATTGTTCTCCACAAACTACTGCTCGTTCTAACTCTTTCAAATTTATATGTGAAGTGAGTTGCACACCTAAGAACTGATTATGACGTTGACCAGAGAGTAGCACATTCCTGTCTCTGTGCTGTGTTTTCTCTGCTCTTTCTTGGATGTCCTTGCACTGAGAGTTGTTCCTTTTCACGACACGGTAGTCCAGCCTCTTGGTGTATAAGGACAAATTGGTGTCACTTGCTCTTTGAAAAGACCACTAAAACAAAAAAACAAGCTGAGGTCTTCCTTTTCATTTTTATGGGCAGCTGATCTCTCTTTAACATTGCAGAGTTTAAAAAAGATTAACGAAGTGCACTTTAAAATGAGTCTATAACCTTCACAGCATCGGATCAGCAAAAAAACAAACCAAAACAAAACAAAAACAACAACAACAAAAAAAAACAACAACAAAAATACCCAACCTGCTGAAACAGCTCAATATCCCAAAGCTATCGTTATCAAAAGCGGTGTTGCAAATTGTGAATCCTGCAGCACACTTTGGTAAAGCTTATTCATTTTTTAGGAAGCGTATGTTGGAAATAGTGACAGTCAATTATTTGTTCAGTCGCACGTCTCATGACTAGGACAACAGTTTTCTTCCAAGCAAGTAACGCTACGTCATTTGCTGCCTGCGCGGAAGTGGCTTAGCCAAAATCTTTCACGGCCTTCCCTGTTGATGTTGTTATCCTCTGCGGTAACCAGCACAATACCGGCGGACCAGCAGCACCTAGAATGGCGAGCCATTCTCTTTCAAAGGGGCAGGAGCACTCAGTGACCTCACCCCAAGGGCAAAAGACAAGTTTGAGAACGACCTGATTGAGCGATAGTGGCTGGAGCATAGACTGTTCTTGTTTCCTTGAAGTATAGATATGCCTCCATGCTGCTCGAGACTCAATCATTCTGTAATGTCTGGCAGTATTATTCAGACCAGGAATAGATATGGCTGGCCCTAGTGTTTCAACTGTGATCAACTGCCAAGATAAATGTGAGAGTGCAGCCGTCAGTTTAAATCAGAGAGCTTTATGGAACTTTTAGAAGCCATTGAAACTGTTGGAGCTTTCCTGCCCCTTTGAAAAGGATTGTTAGTGTCTACCTTCCGAACTAATGTACAACGTTAAAGCCATTGCAAGCTCTAATGACAGTACTTATTGCATTAAAGCAGTTGAAATGGCACTTACTGTCCTGAGGATTCCATAAATAAAAGGCAGTCAAAACCTGTCAGAATACACAGACAGGTGTGTCACTGCCTGCGATCACTTCAGAATCCAAATTTTTGATACGATGGAGGCAGTGTTTGTTTTGTGTGACGTAAGGATAGAAAACTTAGGGCTGAATTCACCGGTGACATAAAGTGTTATACAAGTACAATTTGCTCCTTTGGTATACTAAACAACTTCAGTCCGCTTGGGTAGAAACCTTTGGAACAGTCAGTGTCAAAATAGCTTCCAGCAATCATCTGAGGTTTCTGCCACCTGGTGGGTCAACTATATTTTTGTTTTCTTAATGGCATGAACTGACAAGGAACCAAACCACCCACAGTTACGATGCGATGCTACGATCCAAAATACTGAGGAGTGAAAATCTTTGGTCTTCAATTCGGTTGACAGAGAATCACGAAACTGGTACAAACAATATACATACACAGCAACAGCGGCGAAAAAAATTCTGAATGAAGTTATAACTCGGCATCATTGTGAATTGCAAGAAATGGATCTTCATCAGTGAGGTGATTCATGTCTGCTGCTATTGTTGAGCGTACATAGTTCTTCTCCAGAGCCAGATCGAGAAGACTAACCAAGCATCAGTCCCTGATGTAGGAAATTTTATTACACAAATCAAACCAAGAAATGTTACTGATATCCATGTGTTTGTAAAATAACGGTCTCTGGGTGAATATCCCCTCATTTCATTGTCACGAAGGCTGAAGATGAAAACCGGGCAGCGTGGTACACTGCACGGGCATGACCTACATTCGACCCTGACCCACCTGCCCCATGGTGGGCTGCATGCCTGCCACTGCTCTCTGTTGCTGCCGGCAGGGAATTCGGCTCGCCAGTTAATTATTTCCATTTCATATTCGTGTCTCTTTGCACTTTTAGAAAGTAAAAAACATGAAAGGCACAGCGCTGTTCACTTACAAGTACTACGACAGCAGAGCCTCGATGACATTTGCTATGTTGGAGGAGGTGTACCAGATTTCCCCCTTCGGCAAGCCCGATGGCATAGCAGCCGTGGAATCCAGGTGAGAGCAGTGATTGTCAGTAGTGCAGCAAGCAAGGGTGAAAGTTCTCGCCTGTCTGGCGACACTTCCAGACAATGCAGAGCAGTGCACAAACTCGAGATTGATCCGCATTGCGACAGCACAGCTGCAGTGCCGGAAGCCCTCATCCCACAGCTCCAGCTGTACGTGCCCAGCTCTCACGTGGTTTGCCAAATGGAGCAGCTCTACTTTAACTGTAGCTGAATGAATCACTAGGATTTGATTTAAATTTTGAAAATAGGAACACAGGAGACGATCCAAAGTAATTTCTCTTCTCAGATACAAACGTTTCACTGCATAGCAGCGCTAATAAATGGAAACGTTAACAACTATGACTTCATTGTTTTGCAGACAAATGACAGTTTTCGGTCACAACAACCCCAGGCAAACCTGCAGGCTTGTGGAGGAGTGGCTGGAAAGCTGTCATACAGAAAGGACCTCAGTGCACCGACAGACAGTCGGCTGAATATGAGCCAGCAATGTGCTCAGGTGGCCAGGAAGGCCACTGGCATGCTGGCTTGTATGGGGAACAGTGCGGTGAGCAGGACTAGAGAAATCATCCTGCCCCTGTAGTCGGTGAGGCCTCATCTCGAGTACTGTGTTCAGCTTGGGGCACCTCAGCGCAGAAAGGATGTGGAGGTGCCGGAGCAGGTCCGAAGAAGAGCAGCAAGGCTCGCAAAGGGCTTGGAGAATGTGCCCTGCGAGGAGCGACTGAAGGAACTGGTGCTGTTTAATCTGGGGGAAGGGAGGCCAGAGGAGAGACCTTATCGCTCTCTCTAAAGCCTGGAAAGTGCTTACGGCGAGAGCAGGGTTGGTCTCTTCTCACCGGTGAAAGGTGACAGGACAAGGGGAAACGGCCTCAAGTTGCGCCAGGGGAAGCTTAGATTGGATATGGGGAAAAACTTCTTTACAGAAAGGGCTGTGAAGTACTGCAATAGGCTCCCCAGGGAGGCAGTTGAGACACCATGCCCAGATGTGTTTAAGAACCATTTGGACGCGATGCTCAGGGACATGATTTAGCAGAGGGTTGTGAGGGTAGTCTGGTTAGGTTGTGGTTGGACTCGATGATCTTCCAGGTTTCTTCCAAATTGAACAATTATACAAATCTACGATTCAGTGACTTTTCTGACCTATCCCCAAATTCAGAATGCACCAATGCTGTGAGTACTCGTTTACCTGGGATATGGTAGCTTGGTAAATAAACACTGTGCTCAGCCTTCATTTTGTCATAATGAAATTCTTCAGGTAGGTGATGCTCGTCTCTTATTATTTCCTTAGGAGTGACTAAAGTTTTAAAAAGTGTCTAATTTGCTTCTCGTAACGCTGACAGTTTGGCAGCGAGGTGTTTATGTGCCTCACTTGTAGCTGTGATTTTTTTCTGGCATTAAAATCTGAGCAGCTTTACTCAGGGTTTTGCACCAGAGATCATTTTGCTTGCTGTGACAGTGTGTTTCTTATTATGCAATTGTTACAGGATCGCTGCCTGATGCGATTAAAAACAGCCTGCTCTGATCTCGGCCACTCTGCGACCTTGCTGCCAAAGCTCCCGGCAGAAGCCATGTTAAAGACGTGGCCTTGCCTTATAGGCAACGCAGGAGAGCCAGCCAGCATCAAACGCATCCCAAAGTTTTTGCCAACGTTTTCACTTACTGTTGCAACATTATCGAGCAGAATTCACGCTGATGCTGTGCTGGCCTTGAGGAAAATAATAGCCAAAAAAGACCCTGTGAAGGTAACCATCATTATTGTGTCTGAGATTGCGATTGACAGTGCGATTCGGGCTGCCTTAGCGATGTGGGAATAATAAAGGCATCGGGTGACGGTAGCAACTCCGGGCAGATTTTGTAGTAACCAGTTTTCCTCTTTCCCACGTTGCAAATCCCTGGCATTACCCCATCCATGTTGACATTCTGGGAAGGGGGTTGCATCAGTCACCGTCACACTGCGACTGTTGCTAACAGGTCTTTCTTCCAGCCCTGTTCATTACGCATCCAGCAATTTTTTTCATTTTCAGCGACGGGCTCTGTGCTCAATGCTTTTTTTGGGGTTTTGTTCACCATTCACTGCAGATCAGACATGCACAGCTTAGGAAACACTTCTACCTGAGGAATTTTGAGGTATTCACAAGTTGTACCTTCCTTCTCAAGGTAAGGGAGATCACTCTCCAAGTTTGTATGGACAGCGCACTCGCTCCTTACATGCACGTGACCACTTGCATTGTTCTCTTTGAAACAAAGCCTTCTCTTCCTATCATGGCAGCCAGGGCCAGCTCACTGCTGATGCAGACCACCTAATGAGCAGCTAGTTTCACGCATACACACACAAGAAGGCTTTGGCAGTAGGCAGGATCCCACAGCTCTACAATCTACAAGTAGAAGAGATAGAATTTGTAGCTGCAGACGGTGTGACACATTTTGCTGTGTTTTCTAAGAATTTGGTCACAGTTTACTATCTTCATATGGTTTTAACTCTTTACCATTCAGATTTGCTGCTTGCGACATTTCCATTAAACTTCTGAGTCCCAGACTTGAGGGGTCGAGGGCTGATCACGGTCTCTTTCGGAGACCCTTGGGAGCTAGTTCTGGAGGACGCGGGTCCCAGGAAGGCTGGGAATACTGTAACGGAGAAATTTTAAAGGTGCAGGAGCTGACCATCCCGAACTCACAGAAGATGAACCGATAGGGAAGAAGACCGGTCTGGCTGAGCAGAGGCCTTCGTCCGGAACTCTGGAAAAAAGGAAAGTTTGCAGTCTTTAGAAAAGGAGGTGAGCAACTTATGAGGATTACAAATATGCAGTGAAGCTGTGCGGGGAGAAAATCAGAAAGACGTAAACGACTTATGGGCCGGCTTCACCCATTTCTGTGACCGGACAGAGCATGGGCAAGCACAGACTCACGCCCCAGGGAAGGGGGAATGGGAAAAGGGGAAAAAAAAAGAGGTAAGGAGACGGGCCTAAGAACAGAACAGTGACGACAATCTGAGTCTTATATATTCGCTGTCAGGAATGTATGAAATTTTTCTTCTTTATATTGAAAGAAGTAATGAATAAGTAACCACCGCTCATAAAAACATGATTGCATCACGGAAGGCCTGAGCAGCCAGTCCCCTCGTATTCACCGCACCTTTCGGCTGCTTTAATTGCACGGTAATTTGTAGACACCTAGCAGTTTAAGAGGAGCCCGCCAGCAACATCATCGAGCCTCTCGGTCAGATTCCGCAGCTCAGGATCTCCACCCTTCAAAAGGACACGACCCTTCACAGACAGTAGGTTCCAAAAGTGAGAGATGCTGTATGTAAATAATTGATGTGTAAGCCACCTAGTTGTGTGAGACAGGAACCGATTGGTGCCATTTAGAAATACAGATGAACTAGACAGCTTTTGGAGAAAAGCAGTAGGAAGACGTTCTCGCTAGCTGTTCTCAAAACCAGTTTTATGAGGAAAGCTCTTTGTAATCATTTTTCTTTCTCTCGTCAAGCTGGAAATGTTGGGAGAAAGAGCTTGTTGTAATCATTTAGAACCATGGCCTACAATTGCTCGTGAAACACACTATTTGCAATTTAGGCCATCCTCTGGGAAACCATCTAGTGCGTAGGATGTGCAGTACAAACATTCACAGTTACACAATTATAAAAAATAGAATTGAGCACAGGCCAACTGTCAGAATTTTAAATGAGGAATGAAACTGCTATCTGAGGTGAACGTTATCGCTGAAGTCTTGTAGTGCCTGTGTCCACGATTAGAAATAATTAAAATCTTAGAGAAAGTCATCCTACTGATTTATAGGACATGGGAACGTAACCCAGAGCAACGCCGCACGGAACTGTTTGCAAAGCTCCGCTTCCGATTTCAATGCTATGCAATTTTCTGGCGTGTATCAGCAGCCCATTTGGCCACCGGTCACATTGCCACTGCCATATTTCCACTGCCATCTTTAGTCACATGCTTTCTGAGATGAAATTTTTTTACCTGTTTCTCAAACGTATTTATTTATCTATTTATTTGGAGGAAGCGTGGGGCGGAGGGGGGCGGGGGGGGGGAGGGGTTGGTGGTCTCTCGAAACCGTCAGGGCCGGGGATGTTCTCAGGCAGCGTGACCGTCTGTCATTCCATTCACTTCAAATGCAAAGCGAAGCGATCCGTTTGAATCGGGTATAGTTACTTGTCAACGAACCCAACAACGAGGCGAGAAGGAGAAGCGCGTAACACACTTTCAGTTGAAGTGTGCTTTAAGTCCTTAATTCAGATCCGGAGCCCACGTGTCGAACTGTCAGGCACCCGATCGGCCCTAACGAGACCCAACCGCGCTAACGAGCGTCAGGTGGGGCGCACAGCCGCGCCTCGTCGGGAGCTCAGAGGCGGGGCCCGCCGCAAAGCCTCTTAAGCTCCGCCGGAGGCTGACGAGAGCCACGAGGCAGTTGTCGGGGTTCCTTGGCTGCGGAGCTGGTTCTGTGCCGTTGTTCGGGTATCGTGCCGCTGGGGTTGGAAAGGTACGTGCGGGGCTACTTTGAAATGAAACCTTGTTAACGTAGCGTTCTCTGTTGCTTTGTTTCAGGTTTCAGCGATACCGCGCGCAGTGAGGATCAGCCCGACCCGCTGACCGCTCGGAGGGGAGTCACAAGGGCCGTCAAGCCGCCGATTTTGCGTTGGCGTAGGGCTGCTTTCGGGCTCTTCAGAGCTGGAGGGCCGTCGCCGCCTAGCTTCCATCGCATTTTCGGTACGGGCCGCCGCTCTGTTTCCCCGGGTCCCGACCCGGCCCTGCGACGCTCTGATCACGCCGGGGGTTTTCCGGCGGGCGCTTCGGTTCGTCCCGCCGCCGTCGGCGGGAGCGAGAGGGACCGTATCGCTTCAGCCTGCGTGCTGCTGGGGGTAAGAAGCGACACGAAGGGCTGCTGAGACTGAAGTTCATCTTATTGCCGGCAGACCGAGGACCATGGCAGAGCATCTCGTCGACCCCAACCGGCGAGCGCCTGGGGACCCTGGCTGAGGACTGGGTGCCAGCATGTGTGATGCCTGGGTCCTTCCTTGAGGTGAGGCTTCACTGTGCTTTTATCTTGGTCCTAAAGGTGTGGAATTGATGGAGTGAGAGGTAAGGAGTATTACCTGTGGTGGAGCTCCAGCAGGCCTTTTGTGAGGTGCTTTGGGTTCCTGTTGCTATGTTGTCTGCCTTGTTGGTCCAACAACTTAGAGCTTTTCTCTTTCCTCAGGTTGTTGTTCAGCTACTCTTATGAGGAGAACATCAACAGTGGCTGTGAGCTGAGCTCTTCTGAAAGCTGTAAAGGAGGAGGTGGCAGAGCTGACTGGAGAGGTAGGCACGGGGTGTTTCGGTGTGTCCTGTAGGCGTTCTGTTGGCTGACTGCTGAATCCCCCCAGGCTGGCTTGTGTTCAGTGTTTCCTGGGGTCTTTCTGAGCGTTTTTGTTCCTTTATATTTTGTTCTCTGTAAGGTTGTAGGTGTTGTGATGAGTTGGAATTATGTGTCAGCTTAGTTTATTTGCCTTTGGGTGTTTTTTTGTTTGTTTGTTTGTTTGGTTGTTTTTTTTTTTTTCTTTTGTGGTGGTGGTTGAAGTTGGATGGTAGTGGTGTGTTGCTTGGATTATTTGTCTCAGGTTAAGGTGGTGGTGAGTTGTGCTGTGTTACTGGTTGAACTTGGTGTATTTTTTATGTGTATTAGTTTGTTTGCCTCTGGGTTGTGTTTTTTTTTTTTTTTTTTTGTTGTGGTTGAACTTGGTATTGCTTGTTCTAGTTTGTCCTCTTTTGTTGTACAAGTTGGCTCTTGCTTATTTATGTGTGGGATTGAAGTAGCTTGTCTGCCTGGTTTTTTTTTTTTGTTTTTTTTTTGTTTTTTTTTTTGCGAAATTATCTCGTCTTCTTTTGTTTTTTTTTTTTTTTTTTTTTTTGGGGGGGGTGGTGGGTAGGGTGCACTGGTTGGCATTGGAAATTTTTTGGAAGAGGGAGCCCTACTGGGCCATGGAGGCTCCCTCTGAGTGGGAGAGCCCCTCAGCTGGTGGAGCTACCCCTGGGTGGGGGTGTGGGGGGAGCCCCACCTGGCTATAGGGGCTCCCCCTGGGTGGGGGTGTGGGGGGATACTGTACCTGGGTGCTGGAGTGGCTCCTGTATGGTGATGCTCCTTCTAGGCTGTAAGTAAGGAGATAGAAGCCAGCTCTTTCTGGCCTAGTTCTGCCTGAGGATAAAGTTCAGCTGACTTAATTTCAGGAAAAGCCTTCTTGAATGAGGTCTTGGTCTGTGACCTGAGTCACTATGTGTGGTCACTTAATGCACTCCGGGGAGTGCAGGAGGTTTAGCCTTTTGAAAGGGCTTGGGTGATAGGCTGGAGGTAAAATAATCCTGTGGTGAGTATCCATCCAAGTATATGTCCTGTATATGCTAGGGCTGTTTTGCAATATTAGCAACCTAAAGAGACTCAGGTGGTTAGAAAGGAGTAAGTTGGAGTTCTTGGAGACTTCTGCACGCTATTCCTGGGTAAAAGAAGTCTAATAGAAAACTAAAAAGTAAAAATGCTTAGGAATCCTTTCCTGAGATCTAGAATGAGGCCAAAACAGGCTTTGCTTTCCTAGAAACGCAGACTATTCTCTCCTTGTGGGGATAAGATTTTACTTGTATTTAAGGCAGCAACTCAAACAATACATTGAATTGGTGGAAAGACAACTTGACCAATTTCACATTTCAGAATTGAATTAGTAAAAAACTAGGTCATGGTTAGAAGAGGCAGGTCTTTCAACTTAATTACCTTCTAGCTTAAGCAAAGCTGTGTAGGAAGACTCATGCCTAACTCAGATCTCCTTTCCAGGCATGCCTCAAAAATTCCAGTAGCAACTTTGCTTGCAATTTGCATGGTGGGAAGCAGATGACAACATATCTATTTCACTGAAGAATTATCAGCTTGGTGCAGTTTTTTTTGGAAAGACTGTTTCTATTAAAGGCGTAAATGCTCTCTTACTTTTAACAATGAGTATGCTTAAAAAAATATCTGTACTAAAATGGAATGACTAGGCTTAGCTAGCTGAAGTTCTTTAGAGTGGAGTGGATACCTGTCTGTCTTCAACTTTACTTAAAACAAAGAAAATCCTCACCACACAGAAGGATGCGCTGCCTATTTCTGCATTCTGGCCTTGTTCCCTTGGCTGCTGACATTAGCTTACTCATCTCAGGAAATGAGAAAGAGGAGAAAAACTACTGCTTCTGTAATCGGCTGTTTTGTGTTGGATGTTCTGTAAGAGATTCAAGCAAGACTTAATAAAAAAAAACAAATAGTTTTGAGGTAGATGATAGTAATGTAATTCAACAGACTTGCTTTATTTAACAACTGAAAGCACTGTGTTTCCAGTGTTTGTATCAATAAAGCTGAATTTCTGAATAGCAGCATCTCTTCTACTTGGTAGAGCTTCTACAGCTTAAACACAAGTGTGTTTGTAGAGTCTTGCATCTGGGGAGGAATAATTGCATACACCAGTACAGGTTGGGGGATGACCTGCTGGAGGGGAGCTCTGCGGAGAGGGACCTGGGTGTCCTGGTGGATGACAGGTTGGCCATGAGCCAGCAGTGTGCCCTTGTGGCCAAAAAGGCCAATGGCTTACTGGGGTGCATTAAAAAGAGCGTGTCCAGCAGGTCGAAGGAGGTGATCCTCCCCCTCTACTCTGCCCTGGTAAGACCTCATCTGGAGTACTGTGTCCAGTTCTGGGCTCCCCAGTACAAAAAAGACAGGGATCTCTTGGAAAGAGTCCAGCGGAGGGCCACAAAGATGGTGAAGGGCCTGGAGCATCTCTCCTATGAGGAAAGGCTGAGTGAACTGGGTCTGTTCAGCCTTGAGAAAAGGAGACTGAGAGGGGACCTGATCCAGGTCTATAAATATCTAAGGTGTGGGGGGCAGAATGGCGAGGCCAGACTGTTTTCAGTGGTGAGTGGAGACAGGACGAGGGGAAACGGCTGGAAACTGCAGCATAGGAAGTTCTGCACAAATGTGCGCAAGAACTTCTTTACGGTGAGGGTGACGGAGCACTGGAACAGGCTGCCCAGGGAGGTGGTGGAGTCTTCTTCTCTGGAGATGTTCAAGACCTGCCTGGATGCCTACCTGTGCGACCTACTGTAGGGAACCTGCTTTGGCAGGGGGGTTGGACTCGATGATCTCTGGAGGTCCCTTCCAACCCCTACAATTCTGTGATTCTGTGTTATCCTAAGAGCAGACCAGCACTGACTGTCTCACAAAAATACTTCTGGTTTCATTCAAGTACTTAAATGTATTTAAACAAATGAGTTCCCTGCAATTTCTGGTTTCCAGCTAGGTAACTTCAAGAAGTGCTTCTCAGCAAAAGCCTTTGTGTCAAATCTTTGCAACTAAGTTAGTTCCTGTGAACCTTCATCCTAAAGTGAGACCAAATGATAACACAAAGAATAAAAATGAATCCTATTCTGCATTTTTTCCTTTCTAAGAAAGGAAATAAACACCATTGGGATTCTGCCCTTGCACTGTAATTTGCATGAGTAAGTGCATTTTTTTTTAATCAGTGAATACAAGGATGTCCTTTTTTGATAGGTTTAACTTTATGACAATTAACTTCTCTGACAAATCAAAAAGAGCTCAAGTCCTTAATTTATGTGGGCCTGGTGACAATGACCAGCATATGACTGTGAGCTCTTTGAAATGTCATACCTTTCTGCTTTCTTTGGTACTGAGTACTGATTTCTCACTGCCGGCATGCAAGGCAGCTAGCTTTCCCCTTCTCCACTTTTTATACTCAACTGTGGTACTTATGTGTGTAGCAATCTCACTTCTGCATCAAATTCAGTTAACAAGCTGAGGAGACAAATCCCTCCTCCAAGTCTGCACTGTGCATGCAAGTAACAGCAGTGTTTTTTATTTAAAAATAAAGAGAAAGAACAAGGGGAGGCTTTTTTACACTTCTCAGGTCTCAGTGGTTCTCAGACTCTTATTTACTTGACAGAAGAGAAAGCAGTGTAAGAAGTAGGAAAAGGAAGGAATGTCACATGGCTTAGAGTGGAAGCCATTCATGCTAGCTAGACGTGCTGGCCTCAGGAAAGTCAGGCATAGCTGCTTCCTGGAGCGGAGCAGACTGGCTTATCCTTCTAACTGTATTTCCCAACAGCCAAAATCCCAGTAACTTTACAAGCCCGGCTACAAAGCCTAAGAATGTGTCAAGTGACTTCCAGGGAAGCAAAATAAGCTTGCTAGTCAGTACTGCTGGGGAAGACAGCTCTGGAGTTAGCCAGACTGACAGACTTTCTTACTGTTTTGTTTTCAACAAAAGCCTGATAAAATAAGGTCATCAAACACAAGAGTGCTTACCTGAAGTCACTGACACGTGGAACCCTCTTCTCTTACTTGGCGAGATCGGGGATCACTTCAGAGGTTTTATTTAGGAAAGCTGCTGAAAGAAGATGCTTGATTCTAAGATGGTGCAATTACCAACCTCATAAATGACACTCAATTGCCTCATCCTTAAGAACTTACTAGCTGGCATCCCACAAAGCTGATTTCCAGATATAAGTTTGTAGTTGCAGTTCTCCCCTCCAATTCATATTGTGTGTTTTACTTATTTAAAACAAAAAGTGCTTAGGAAAAATCCTTTTGGGCAGTCCAAATCAGTAACACGATAATACATTCTTTGCTAGGAAAACTCTTTAGTTTTAATTACCGCAGTGAGAATTCATGCCATTACAATGGCCCACCTGCAGCCACAGGTTGCAAGTTTTCAAGTATTTCCCCTATCTATTTGATGGATTGGCTTAGACTGACGCTCTCCTACAAAACTGTCAAAAACCATGCGCTCAGATAAGGATTTAACAACATCATTGTGCTATCATCACACTATCGTCTGATTTTTTTCTATACTCCGCAAAGCATTCACCACCTTCTTTGGGCACCATTTATTTCCCTACAGGAAAAAAGGAAGATTCTACCTTTTAAGATGAGAAGAATTTGAACAGAAATAATCATTTGGAAAAAGAAACTACTAAATGTAATTGAACATAAACTCTTATGTCTAGCAGCTAAGGGATTAACTGCTGAAGAGAAGCTTCAGCTACTTGCTCTCTCGAGAACTTCTGCAGGACAGTTGAGCTCTTAGGTTATTAGATTCAGAGATCCCATATTAAGAGTGCTTAGCTTCTCTCTCTTGCAAAACAGCCCTCAGACTGCCAGTGTTTTTCTTCCTCCTCAGACCACTATAATTGTGATTTCACATGTACATCCTAGATGGTCAGAACTTAGTGTCGTATTCACCACATGCTCTCCGTGGGCCCCAGTTCTTTATGAATGGACAGCTGGCCAACTAGGCAGCTAGATGTCAAATCTGACAAGAAAACAGTGAAAAAAATGAGGCGGTTTCAATGGTTTGCATAAACTAATGTACTTGTACTTACTCTCTGTGTCTCAGAAGCAAAGCCTTGAGTCTGTTCTAGACTTCTGAAAGATGGGGGGAAAAAAATTTAGCACTTTGACAAGAACGGCCTTCCTAACGCTGCATTACTGCATTAGCCAATTTCTTCTACAAGCTACAGCCAGACCGATCTGCATTCTCCCTGTCTGGAAGAATACTTCATCCAACTTGCTAGAAACTATGAGAAATTTCAGCCAAGTGGCAAAAGAGAACCATTTGGAGAATGATTCTTAGGCTTCTGTCTTTAACCATAAAGAGGTACGTATGGCATTCCGCTAAAGCACAAACTGTGTAGAAATTGGATGTCTCTACCGAGAGATCAGGTACCACTGCACTTCTTATCTGCCAAGACTTGACAGTGAATGAAACTGGTTCTCTGTAAGATACTTATCTCTGAGCAATTCTTTCTGAACAGCATATAGAATCATCAACACAATAAACAACCAAAAAACCCTTGTGTAGAAAATGATTTCCATTTTTAAAAGCCCCATCATTATGAAATCTGCTGAAAACAGATCAAACACTCCTTGGTTGTTTTTTTTTCCCCCCATACCAAGAAGGAACAACGCCAGCCAAACCGTGGTCTTTTGGACAGGTTCTAATTCCGCAACACTTAGTATGTTTCACAGCTTTCAGTTAATTCAGACAAAGAAGGCTAATTATGAAATTCCAATAGAAACTACTACAGCTCTCCATTTACAGAAGGAAATGAAGACTATGCTCTCATACGCTGAGTTATAAAGGAGCTCATAAAGGATGCCTTTCTGAGAGCACAAGAGATCTCCAGCCCCCAACATGTGAAACACAGTGGAGAAGGCAGGAAACCAGTGTGTGACAGAGTAATGACACGCTGGGGAAAAAAAAAAAAGGGAAAAGAAGGAAAACGTAAAAGGACGTGTAACCTGCGGAAAATACAGGGATGCTTTCCAGGCAGGCAGACATAGGTAAACTGACACAAAGATGAAAGTGAACTTCGCACAAGACTTAAGAAGCAACAAGATGGGATTTCTACAGGTACGCTGGGCAGAGGACAAAGGCCAAGGAAAGCACACTCTCTCTGATATATGAAAAGCAAGAAAAGGCAACAACAGACACAGCGAAGGCTGACGTGGTAACCAAATTCTCTGCTGGCAGTCAGGCTTCCCATATCTCTTATGTCCTTAAACATCTAGGGAGAGGCTGGGAGAGCAAAATTCCCTCCCGCTGTAACAGAAGAGCAAGTCTAACACCTCTTGAAGACTCTGAATGTGTAAAGTCTATGGGACCTGATAATCTGCACCCCGGTGTCCTGAGGTCACTGCCTGATGTGATTACAGTGCCACCCTCCATGGTGACTGGTAAGTCACAGCTATCAAGCAAGCCCCTCGTGACTGGAAGAACGTTACAGCTAAATGATGCTGAGCTGTAACCTTCATAAAGAACTGACAACCCATGCCACATCCAAATGGAAGAACAGACAAACGGACCGACCAACACAACCAGGGTAGCATCCTGCACAGCTCCCAATTTTCCTGGGCTCCCTTAACAAGGGTAGTTGATTTCAAAAGTCCTAAGAAAGAGCCCGCTGGCAAAACTGAGAGGCTTGGGCTCAGTCGGTTCAGACGCACGCTCCTTCACATGCCCACGTGAAACATGCGTAGGGTTTGTGACTTCTCAGTGCCTACAGTACTGGGCAGCACAGGTGCGTTTCCGGAAGAGAAGCCTATGATGTACACCACTGTATTCACTAGTAAGGGGACTAAGCGTTCAACCCCAGATAAACTACTCCCTTTCTTTGGCTTTACTGTACACATCAAGATTTAAACGAGAAAAAATATCAAAATCGAAATCAACAAGAGTTACCTGGTAGATGTCCCCATAATTTTCGATGTCTCCACTGGCGGTCCGACATTTGCCGTCGTTGAAATCCCAGGCAGAGTACGGCACCGCGGGAAAATCTCTAGTCCCGGTGTTGAAATAGCTCCCGCACGTTGAGTGGGTGCCTGTGCCACCCATAGATCCGCACATGTGATTGACAACAGCATCCACATAAATGCGAACCTGGAAAAGGAGCAATTGCGATTCAGTCTGTGTTGTGATGCTGTTGAAGCATCAGCTGGAGCTTTACATCACTGCTGTCAGCGTGACCTTTCATCCGCCTCCCTTTACTCTCCGTTTAACCCTCCTTCGAGAATAGGAGCGGCAACTTTGCTCCACAGAAACCGCCCTTCTCAGCGTATCGGCTACGCATTTTTAAGGCACTTACTCCAACGTTGTTGCACCTGGTCACCATGTCTCTGAATTCATCTTCAGTGCCTGATCGGCTGCAGATCTTGTAGCTGATGGGCTGGTACCTTTCCCACCAGGGCCGGTTCGGATTAGTAATGACAATGTTTTCATTTGGAGGAGAAACCTGCGGGTGAAAGGATGTACCTCAGTCAGAAATCTGTAGTTCCCATTTCATGTTTTAAGTGCAATAAGGTGTGCTCAGTGCTGAGATTAGCCTGTCATTTCCATGAGACAGTTCAGGTCTGCAAAATGTAAGTCTTGTAGACTGGCATCAAGGAAATTCTCCTTTGTTATCATGGATTGCCTGGATATGTGACATCCTTTGGACGGCCGAAACTCTGTATACCTGTGTACTTGACTTGGTAGAAGAGAAAAACTTAGCTTTGTAAGCAAACATATCAGAGAAAAGTAAGCCCTCTTGCAGGTGATCTGCAGCTAAACACACACTCGTACTGTCATTTCCATGAGACAGGCTTTGTGCCAAACCCATTCTCTGCAGTACTCTCTGCAGTACAAGCTTAGGTCTGCAAGATACCCATCTTGTAGACTGACAAAAAAATTGTCTTTTGTTGCCGTGAGCTGCCTGTATCCACCGTCCAAGGACATGTGTATGGGAGGGCTGAAGCCACGTTAATTATTTTTGTCTGGAATAGTCTAGACATCCTTTGGGCAGCCTATGTCTGTGTACTCAATTCAGCAAAATGTAAAAGACAGCGTCATACGTGACGCGTGACAGCCCCCTTGCAGGTGATCTGCAGTTAAACATACACTCGTATCAAGCTGGCAGGATCTCCAGATCTGCCTGACGCAACTCATCGCTTCCATCCATGCTTTCAACAAGAAAGTTACTTGGAGCTCACTGTCAGCAGTTCTATCTGTTTTGCTTGTTAACCAAATGCTGCAAAGCGTTTTTTATCGCCTGTGGGCAGGAAATTGCATACCTGAACTCCACCAAACCCAATGGAGCTACATCGTGTTCACACTCCAGAGCAATATTGGCCCAGTGCCATTCAAAGAGATGCATGATAGACATCCTCCCAGCCTGAGTGTCAGGGTCGTAACTGTGCCCAGCAAAGCCCTACAGCTGCGAGGAGGAGAACGACTTACACGGTGCTGCCAGCTTAAGGCTGTGGTCTTTCCGCTGGCCATTTATACTCCTGGAGGATGACAAAATTTCTACTGTAGCTGACAGATTTCATGGAGTTCTGTTACTGTTTGTCTAGCTAGCTAGATATCCATATTCCCATTTATTTTATCTTGAACTGCCCTGCAGCTGAAGATAAAATACCTTCTCTCAATGTTTATACCTTATTATACACCAAGCAGTGCCTGAGCAGCATTCCCAAATTTGGGATTATATTCTTTGCTGTCACATAAACAAAAACTTTATGAAAATTGGGACTCTGGAAGGTGAAAAGAAATAAAGATGAGCTCAAACCCATGTATGATTTCAATCATTCTTGTTCATTATTAGATCATAGGAATCATAGGATTGCTTAGGTTGGAAAAGACCTTAAAGATCATCAAGTCCAACCGAAACCTGATCATATTATCCTAACAACCCTCCTGTGCCATTCCCCAGGCAAGAGAAATCCTCGTGAGGAAATCAGCATCAAAATGCAGGGTGAGGAATTCACCTGAATGCCTGGGCTTGGCTTCAGCTGGTCCCTAGAGGTTTTCAAGGCCAGATTGGATAGGGCCCTGGGCAGCCTGGTCTAGTATTAAACGTAGAGATTGGTGACCCTGCCTGTGGCAGGGAGGTTGGAGATTCGTGATCTTTGAGATCCCCTCGCCCTGGCCATTCTGTGATTCTGTGATTCTGGTTATTAAAAGGTCATGCTGAACCCGCAGCTGAATTTCATAGAATCACCAAGGTTGGAAAAGACCTAAAAGATCATCCAGTACAACCATTCACCTATTACCAATAGCTCCCACTAAACCATGTCCCTCAACACAACATCCAGTCTTTCCTTGAACACCCCCAGGGTCAGTGACTCCACTGCCTCCCTGGGCAGTCCATTCCAGTGCCTGACCACCCTTTCCGAAAAGTAATACTTTCTACTGTCCTTCCTAATGTATTACACAACACATCCTAAGTCTTTAAAATCTGAATCTCATCAGAAAGTATAAACCTACGCTTTTTTTTTTCATTATTATTTTTAATAGGATGTTCATCACTGTCCTTTTATTTCCAGGAATTTATGTTCAAGGACAAAATTCAGAAGCTAGTCCAATTTGTTCATCTCCTCATTTTCCTATCGCAGACCCAATTTGCCAATAAAAAAAATAAAATTATTCTCTATTTTGACTGACAGCAAATTCAGGAGAATTTAAGCACTGGGATGAAAACACATTCATGTGAAACGATAGAGTACTGCGTTTCCAGGCACTGAAAAAAGACATTTCGGTTTGCAAGTTCTCACACCGCAAACCTAAAATGCACTTCTGCTTCCCTATATGGACATTCATTAAAAACAAGTCCACTCCGTGCAAATCCTAGATATTACTGACAGTAATCAAACATATTGAATGTTAACTTCTTGAAAACATTAGACAAATATTTCCACTCCTCAGCAATAAAGAATTGACAGTAAGCAACCATCACTCTGACACCTTCATTTGCTCAACAGTTCTTACAAGAGAAATACACCGAGATGTTAGTTGGTGCAATATATGAGGGAGTCATGTTAGGAATGGTTTCTGCACGCTTGTTCCAACTGTGCTTTCACACAGACATATATAACATCACAGATACATTACCTACTGACAGTTGCAGCAGTTCTGCTTCCACTTACTTCTCTCATGCTTTGCTTCCATAACTTGCTGCTAAAGAACAAGTTGATGCGGCTTCATTATTGAATAGGACACTGCTAAAATCTGAGCTCTACAACAATCATTTCATTTTAAAGAACACATCTTTTCTCTCAAAATCAGTGCAAAGCCTTAAGATTCCTTTATTAACAAAGGGCACGTTAAAATTGGTCTAAGGTATTCACAATATTGCAGCTGATCAGCAAGATAAAACCCTCTAACAAAGACATTTCATTTCTTCACGCTGCTGAAACTGCAGAAGATGGCAAACATTCTCTTATCAAAAGCAGGGAGACAAGGACTGAGTACTGCAGGATGCTTAGCTGAAGTCAGTCATTTGCTAGAAAAGGTACTTTGGAGACATGTCTATGCCTTTCGGTTGAATTGCTTAGCAAACAAGACTAGGACAACTGCTTTGCTCTGAGGAAGAAACACTACAGCATCTGCTGGACACGCAAACGTGGCTTGACCAAAACCTATCCTCAGGCATTCTTACCGCATTGTCTTAGCGGTCACTGCCAACGTCACATGACACAACGCTTCCGGCTTTTTTTTTTACAGCAAAGTGTCTGCTCCACAGTATGCATCAGCCTTGGAAATACAATGTTCCAAATTCAACATGTACTTGGATTCTTCTCCTCCTATTCCTTCTTTACTCTTGCGATTCTGTGATTTTAGAAAAACAGTGCTGTATTGCCTTAAAGGCTACCAATGTTTTTGCTGCTAGTTACAACATGATAATGCTATGATCCAGAATACCGAGGGGTGAAAATCTTTGGTCTTCATTTCCGTTGACATTTATTTTCAAGGGTTACAGAGAATCACCCAACATCAGGGAAACAAGCCTGGCACAAACAGTATACACACACAGCAACAGTGTCGCAAGTTAGCAACACAACACACTGTTCTCGTGCAAGGAAGATTCACTTTTATTTACCTAAGCAAGCCTTTTGTATTCCAACACGCACGTTCAGTATACATTTAGACTAACAATCCATTGGCTAGAAAGCAAGTCATAACAAGTCTTTGTAACAGCACAGAGCTTAGCTTATAGCTAGCAACAAAACACCCGTTTACTCTGTCCATCTCTCTTTCCCAGCACCTTATTACCAGAAAGTCAACTTTCAACAATGTTGAGTCAAGCTCTTCATCTTCCACACAACAGCAAAAAAAAAAAAAAAAAAAAAAAATTATAACTTGGCATCAACGTGAATTGCAACAAATGGATCTTCATCAGTGTTACTAATCTGGAAATTTGCCATTCCATCCGAAGCAACATACACCTGCTTTCCAGTACACGCACTGCCTTCCTTATCTCCAGAAATAACATCGCAGTAGGTACCAGCAGGCAGCCCCGTTTGCAAATCGACGTTCATATACCTACGCAAAAAGTACATTGCTTAAAGCATAGCTTTCAAAAGAGGAATTTCAAAGCAGGCAAAGGACTGCTGAGCCCGATGCAATTCCGCTACTTGTGAGGATGACGCATTGCAAGGGATTTCTCGGTCTGAGGGCCCCGTTTCTCTAAACTCCCTTTGTAGCCCCTCACAACTAGAACGCAACCGCGTGAATCTAGCTCAGGCTGTAGCGGTTGGTCTCGCTGTCCGGAAAGGACAGGAAAAAAACCGAAGCGTACAGACAGCTCCTACAGCAGGATGCATGCGGTTAAACAGAAGTAATTAACCCCCTAACTGGGATCATTCACACCATTACGGTTGCATTGGCACGACTACATTGGCTAGGGCCAGATGAGGGAAGTGATAAACTACCCTCTCTGCCCATAACCACCAGAACATAAGCTGCTAATGCTTAGACCCCCGGGCTGTATCCTACCCACAGCCTCGTCTTCTCTGCTGTGAACTCATACGTAGCTGTCCTGGAAATCACAAAATACACAAGGGAGACCACAGAAATAGAATGCTTAAAATGCTAAGAAGCAGTTCTTACATCTTCACACACTCACATCAGACACCTCACCCTCACTTTTGACATTCTCCATTCAGTTTTCTGCGCTCCATGTGAAGGACAATCCCTCTTCCTAACACATAAGGAGGAGCCGCACTTCTCTCCAGGGACACAGTCTATCCCACCAACTCACCAGTTATCATTATTAAAGACAATGAAGCCTCTGTTGCCACGACCAAAAGCTACTTGATTGCTATTGTTGTCCCACCAGTTTGAGAAAGGCTGACCGTCTACCACGTTACGGAAGACAACCATGTTCCTGAAAATGCAAGGAAGAGCTGTAGTTGTAGGACCTCTACGGCCACGAGGCGCGTGACCCGAGAGTCACTGCTTTTCCTACATTTTCCTCCCACCTTATTTGTCGCCAGCGATGTTCACAGACCCAGTCGTTGCCGCAGGTTGTGTCGGCATTGATTGTCACGGACTTCGTCGATCCATCCGAGTTACTCGGTGGTCCAACCCACTCGTTGACATCCTTAAACGAAAAAAAAAACTTTTTGAAGTCCTTACTGGAAAATGCACAGAGAGTATCCCGAGAGAGAAGATAAATTCGGCTTCTAAAGTCCATCTGGCAGATCCGGCACAGGACAGAGAAATCATTTACGTTTGACACGCCAAAATCTTCAGCGCTACAAACTCACCTGTCCGTTCTCAAAATATCTTGGCCAACGATAACTTGACATCACCCGCGTGAACCCGTACGGATGAGCGAGCATGAAACCAACTGCCATTTTATAAAGCCTGTTGGACAAAAAACGTAACAGAACGTGGAAGAGAAACGATGCCAAAGAAGCGACAGACCAAAAAAGAGAATAGTAAGCGTCATCATCCAGACACCGCCATTCCTCACCTGGAATCCCAGAAGGTAAGAATGGAAGCTCCGCCTGCCCCGTGCCCCCGCTGGTTGTCGTGGTTATCCACAAAGACCAGGGCTCTGTCAGAAGGCACAAAGCCCCAGCCTTCTCCCCAGTTCCTAGAGAAAAACACAAGGACTTGATTCTCCCCCCTCACGTCACGCATCCAGCTTATCTCACATCGGTCGCGGGACGTTCGCCCTTACTTTAAGTAGGCCATCTTCTCTCCATCCCACTTGCGGATCACCGTCCCCAGTTTTGCACCGTACTTGAACTCTGTTACTCGGCCATTTCCAAAGTACTGACTGCCTGTGATTGGCTCTCCTCCCATGTCAATTACCTGGTACATAAAAGAACATTCCTTGCTGCTAAAACACAAATGGGTAAAAAACACTGTCCTAGACATTATTTTAAGGAAAAGTCAGTAAGCGAGATAAGAATATTACTTCATTTTCTTTCAAAATTGCATTTTAGCCCTTTTTGTGTTCTCTCAGCATAACTGTGAGCTTTTTCTCATTTTCCTCCTCAGTTTCCTTTCTGTGACGAATCAGTACTGTATTATTACAGCCTAGGCAGTATAAACATTCATCTTTCACCAATGCCTCTGATTTCAGCACATAGAATTGCAGGCAAGCGCATTTCTTGTTTACTTAATGTAGCTAAACAACATTTCACTAGTGGCATTAGATCTTATAGGTCACACACTTTTAGCTTCTGCAGACCTTTACCTTAGCTCTTCATACTACTATTAATTACTCAAACATAATTCAAAAAAAACTGGGATTGCCCAAATCATGCTGCCTATGCGGTTTCAGACCATCATCATCGTTTATACCTTCTGTTACAATTTAGGCACTCGGAATTTAAAATTCAGAATTTAACTATTTTTTTTTTTTTAAATCAACTCAATTTTTACGTTTACTTCAGTGTTGTAAATTACATCCCAAATGAAATTTCCCAGTTAATTAGCGCCAGGAGGTCCGAAACAATTGATGCATTTTTCATGTCAACAAGGACTTGCAGTCACATTAGATATTTAAAATTATGATTATTAAACATTGACATCATTTTATATCAAAGCTGAAGGGTACTCAGAACTATCAGAAGCAAAACACCCTTAAGTTGCTAAACTGAGAGTATGCTGCTGCTATATAAACAAGCACATAAATTAAAATTAAGAAAATAAAGATTACTTCCTGATAAATGAAAGGCTTAGCTCCTGCAGAAAACCATTTCGTATTTAGATCTTTCAGCTCATCCAAAATTGCCTTCACATCCCCTGGCCACATATGCTTGGCGGCATCAATCCGGAACCCAGCTACACCGATGTCAATGAGGTAATTCATGTACTCTGCAATCTTGGAGCGCACGTAGTTCTTTTCCAGGGCCAAATCAAGAAGACTGACTAAGCGGCAGTTTCGGACCTGTATAAAAATTCTAAAATTAAACATTTTTCCACAGTAAACTAAACAGATTATTCTGCATACTTCTCTTTGAATTTCTTTGTCTACATTATAATGCCAAAAGAAAACCCTCACTAGTCATCATTCGCAACACACATCTTACATCTTTGACGGTAACACACACAGTTGTTTTGGACAGTTTTCTACATATAAAGAGCATTTAAGAAATCCTCAATTGCCCAACACGTGGGTAAGTGATAAAGGAACGTATCAGAGAGGCAAATACTAAAACCTTAATTAATTTCTTAATGCTAGATTAGGGCAAAGATATATTATTTTTGCTCCAGTATATTAACGTGCAGATTCATTACTATTTCAAGTGCACTCATTAATTCTGTGATACAGGAAGGATTTCTAGAAATGATACTTCAAAACTCGGAAGTATACTGAACTATAAAGCCATACAAAAAAAAAAAAACACTTGTTTTCTCACACCCTTTCTGCTTTGATTTCCTGTAAATAAAAAATGATAGGCATAGATTTTCATCAAACTAATAGTTTAGAGAAGCATTTCTGTAAATTCAATGTGTATTCAGTAAATTTCATGCTGGATTTCCATAGCTATGCGTACATCTGTCTGGAGACAGTGAGGTTCATCAGCCTACGTTGCAACCTGTACTAAAGAACCGGCAATACAGATGATCCTTTGGAGCTGCTCAAGACTACAGGGATGTTCAATGCCTCCCATCCTCCTGCAGTTTCTTCAACCACCCTCGACCCTAAACTTAGATTCAGGAATAATAAAGTACACTGGAAAGGCAGAAGACACTGTTGTAAACAAACAAACAAACAAACAAACAAAAACAACGAAAACAAGAACAAAAACACCCAGTTATTTATAAAATTGCATTAAAAAATGCTAATCTCTTTCTTCTGAAATTGAGACCAAATAGAACTTCCAAATTAGAGCAAGAGGTAAACAGTAACTCCTACTTTTTAAAAAACGTAGTAAACAAAATAATTCCTAAATAGATCTTATGATCTTTAAAACTGTCTTTATAAAGTACCTAAGCACATAACTTAAATCTGAAAGCACGCCTAAACTGCCTCAAGTAGAACTATCCCCTAGCTCTGGATAAAGAAGCAGAATTCATGTCAGTAATGCTAACCTCTATTATCATCAATTAGGATGGCTTTCTGCGAGCTCAGTTTTATTCTTCTATACAACATCTGTCAGTAAAGAGGAACAAAGAATAGTCCAAGAACACACAGATGTAAAAATGCGTTACTAAGTTTACCTGATATGCATCTTGATAATCCTCAATGTCTCCACTTCTGGATTTACATTTAGCATCATTAAAATCCCAGGCAGAATATGGCACAGCTGGAAAATCTTCCTTCTCAGCACTGAAATAGCTTCCACAAGTAGAATGATTGCCAGTACCAGCATTACCTCCACACATGTGGTTTATTACTGCATCTGCATAAACATATACCTAGAGAATAATACTCGAATTTCAATTTAAGAACATTCCTTCCCACAGCACCACTATCTGAATAACATTCTCTTCCTCTTGTCTCTCACCATATCTCTCTAGTTCTGCTGGCCTCCTCCCCCAACATTGTAAGATATTTTATTTACAGCAACAGCGATACAACACGCACCTCAGTGAACTGAAAAAAATCTTTAGTCCGCTGCTACCACACCTTCTAAATTAGCCAATGTCTATATCCTTTCACTAATCCTTTCTGCTAACACCAGAATGTTTTCTATGCGCTTACACCAACATTGTTGCACCTGGCCACCATGTCTCTAAATTCAGTTTCGTTTCCCGATCGCGTGCAGAGTTTGTAGCTGACTGGCTGGTATCTTTCCCACCATGGACGTGAGGGATCAGCAATGACAAGATTTTCATTTGGAGGCGAAATCTGTGAATAAGATGGTACCAGTAATGTTTTCGATATGTTTTCACAGTATTGTTAGAGCAAGAACGTGAAAAACAAAAAACAGATCGGTCCCTTTAATGAAAACTGATTGCAATACATAACCTACATAGATCCTTAGTATACTGTACTTAAACTGTAGCGGGCTACAATTAAAATACTTAGGCCCAGACATTCAGTAGCTGAAAACATTCTCTAAAAATGATGTCCATGGATATCGACAGATCCTAATCATTTTTGAGAATGCCGACCTCATGGATCAAAAGAATCATGTAAAACACAATGGATCGGGACAGTGGAGAAAGCCCAAAACCAGGAAGGAACAGACTGCAGAATATTTGTAACATCGCTCCACTAAAATTCACTGGACTTTACATGCAAGTCTGCATCTGAAAAAACCTTTCATTCTGAGATCCTGCCACAGTATGGATTGAAAAGATGTCCAAATATATATTACAGCCTGAGAAATCAGTTTAAAATCGATTAGATCCATGTGTGTGGAAAGAAGGTTGCATTATTTTAAAATTACATGAAATTTCTCACTCAGGCCAGTTCTCAAGTTCTTGGGCTACCGGAAATTAGCAGACTTTTGCAGCATTCTCTCACTGATCAAACAAACAGAAGCAGTTCAATAACTGGCTACTCTCCAGCCATAATACCCCGTCAATACAGCGCTACTAGTTCCACAGGAGCACGCGTCTGTTCTTCAGATGTCACAGATTCTCGTCAACACACCTCCACCAGAACTTGTGCTCGGTTCATTTCCGCTTGCTCACCCAAGTTCCTGCCAAGCATGGTCTTTTAATGACTCGCTCTGACGTGCTTTACAGAGAGAAACCTGGCAGTCCGGGTGAACCCAGTTAGCAGCCTTTTGTGCTTATCTGTTTATTTCTAACCTTCACCACTCTGGTACTCTCTTCAGGAACGCTTTTTGTAAATCATACTTTCTAGTAGACTGTTTGTTCAGTTCTTAAGGGACTTCCCTTGATTTATATAACATCAAGCAGATAAATGTACATTATTCAAAACAATAAAAAAAGATTTAGTCAGCAGTAAGGAATTCTAATTCATCCAAACGTAATAGCATAGAGAGCAAAACGCGTGCTTTGGAGTGATTAAACAAATTTACTCTTAAATGACAGCACCTGAGGAATATACCCGTCAGCATTTACAATTAACAATCTCTATTCTTCTTCCTTATCACCTGTCCTTGGGTGAACTGAACATTTTAATCTGAGAAGCATTCATCTGCAAAGCAATCTCACTACCTACGGATAGGAATATACATACCTGAACTCCTCCAAACCCATTAGGAGCTAAATAGCGCTCACATTCCAGAGCAATATCGGCCCAGCGCCATTCAAAGAGATGCACGATAGACGTTCTCCCGGGCTGAGTGTTGGGATTGTACTGTGCCCAGCAAAACCCCACAATGAACGCAAGAAAATAGATGCCCATGGTGTGTTCTGTGATCAGCTAAGCTCTTCCTGCAGCATATTTATTTTCCTGTAAGAGGGTAAAGTGCACATTACAAAACAGACGTTTACTTTTCAGTGGTAAACTCTGGCATCGTTTTTATTTTTACTTTTAATTCTGTTTGAAAACTGGTTTTACCTAAGCCATACTGATTTAAAGAAGTAGGCCACAATATATTTTGTAATACATTTTTAGAAATAGCTGATTTGAAAAAGTAGAAATATCAAAAATTTTAATAGTGAATTTTTAGAAATATAGTTGTTGAATCGTTGCCATATGTGATCAATTCTTGCTTGCAAAACCATAATAGCTTTTACATGTTGCAACCAGTTATGAATGTGAATTCAGTTGTGAATGAATTATAGACTAGAAAGCATGTTGTAAGGCTGCTCTATTTTGACAACAGACCCTCAGCGAATGAAACACAATAATGAAAGCCAGGGCCTCCATGCAAGGCTGAATTGTTTCACTCTGGGATTGGGTTGAGATGCAACAGGCAGACATCAAGATGCTCCCCTCTATCCTCCTTATCTTATATACATAGCTAAAAGACAGGTTAACACCCCACTATACATCGTTAATAACTATGCATCATAAAAGACAGGTTGCCAAACTTATCTCTATCCAGGGACAAGTCCAGAAATAAGCCGAGCGAGCAAATGTTACAATTTTGGTACCTACAGTTTACTTATAATAGGCATTCTCCTACTGAGCATACGTCAATGAAGAAAGTTAATCTAAGAACCAAGCAAGGAAGATCACCGAATGAAGTAAAAGGCTGTCGGGTTGGACCGTCACGATGCTAAAAGGACGCTAAACAAGACCATGGAATAGAAGACTGGAAACTGCACAAATCACTACCTGAGATAGGCACGTATATGTTAACTGTCTCACGCATAATTGAGGAATATATGCTATCTGTGGAAATATAATTAAGTCTGAATCACGTAATCTTTGAAGCACTTACAGTGCAAATATCCCCAGTGCTTCCCAGAGCTGCAAAAAAGGAATACCTGACTCAGTGGTAATAAAACTTTGCTGCTAAGTTTCTATGCATCGATTTCTTTGATTTAGTATCAATTTCACATGTTTAATGGTAACTTCATTTTTCTGAAGATAAAATTTAAAATATTGTCTGATATAAGCCGTCTCCAGTGTGCAACGGATTTCTAATAGTACAAAGCTGAAACCAACCACAACTAGGAAGGGAATAGCTTACGTGGACTGAAATTAGCATTTCATTTTATATTTTATTGTATAGTATTCTGTATCACTATTTACTCTTGTAAGGTATCTTTTTTTCCCACTGTGCTTATTTAGAAAGGACTTGAGAGGTAAGTTCCTCAGAGTTGCCAAGAAAACTCAGATATTTTTGAGTTTCTCCAGTTGTCTGGAGCGTCATACCCCACAGCGTATCTATGCTCAAGACGCGCTCTGGGAGTGGGGCAACAGACACTTTATATTCCTGGGGTGGGAGATGCCCAACCCTCGATTTCAACCACATTTATGTGACAGGAATAGTCTGTCCCCCAAAACCTCTGATCCTTACTCTGTTTCCTTGGAATTTAGTCAGATCACCACAAATGACTGAAGTTTCCACGCTCATGTCAACCACTGCCATAACCTGTTGTACGCTTCTTCAGGACCAAGAAATCATTAATTTGACATATGGCCTCCAGTCTGGTTTGGAGGCCCTCGTTACAGGGGAACTAACATTCCCTGTCACACGCAGATGAGCTGGAGCAGTGGGCCATTCGTCAGGGGCACCCCTGCCAGTCTATCTCGTGCCTTCTTTGTTCTTTTTTGTGTTATTATAGGTTGGATCTCAAAGCAGTCCTTCTCAGGTGGAGCTCTGAGATGAGATCTTCAAACTTTGTCTTTTGAATAATCTAGGTCCATTGTGCCTGGGTAGTTTTTAATGCAACATTCAGGACTTGCTTTATAGGGAATGTCAAGCTTGATTTCTTTTCCATTAACGTACCAAGCTGCTGTTCTAACTTCTCAATACTACCACGTAGCAATTAATTTTCTTTCTCTAATGTGTTATTTGAAAGTTCTGATTAATTTAATGCATTTAATAATGCCCATGTCATGGTGGATACATCCAGCTGTCACTCTTTTGTGATCACAATGTCTTTATCTAATCCACGGAAATTATCTGCTATGTGGAATGGGGAAGAAACATTTCCACAAACCTGCAGGGGACCCCATTTGTCAGGTAAGACCACGAGCTTGTGATATGGTGATCCCAGAAATCCTGGGATGTGTCCTGGTATAGTTTTCTCTAGGGGGGTAATGTTCTCCCCATTTAAAGATACTCCATAGAAAGGACATTTCAACATTTTTAGCACGACTGGTTCACCAAACATAGCAATCCAAAAGTTCAACACGATGGAAAGGTGATACAAGAGGTTTAATAACAGAGGTTCTAAAGCAATAGAAAGGTGTTACAAAGGAAAGAAAAAGGACTGCTCACCCATTTTGGAAGATCTACGTTCATAAGAGAGAACTCCACAAAGGAGGAATCTCCAGAAAGAGCTCCTTCCACAGTGGCAGTCAGGAGAGAGTCAAGAGAGGTGCAGCCAGGCTCCACCCCCTTACCGTTGCACATGTGAACTGCCTTCACCTGTGCTCTCAGGCACAGGTCCTTTCCTCAGGTGCTCAATCAGTTCTTCAAGCCATGACTCAACTCTTCAAGCCATGACTGAGTTACCATGCAACTCAGAAACAATTTAAGGCAAGAAGGGAGTAAGGAGATTCCTGATCACTTCCACGTGGAAACCAAACACTTCAGTGAATGCTTAAACATGAACACGTGGCCCTCTGGGTTGCTGCATGCTTTTTTTCCTAATTTAATACACATTTGAGAATGCACCTCTGAAAACTTTGACCTACAATAATATGATACCTAAACAACATTTAATTAAAAAATCTTATACTATCTCTAAAAAAACCAAACAAAAATAACAAGCAAACAAACAAAAAAAATCAACCAAGCAACCAACCAAAAAAACCCCACCTTTCTCTCTCATATTCTTATTTCACAGAAAGGAAGATACACAGCTCTCAGCAGAGCTGCACTCTTTGGACCACATTCAAGCACAAAATAGCTTCTTGCTATCAGCTGTCACTGTACCCTGCAGGCAGCCAGAGTTATTTCAGATCGATAAATTTAGCTTGATCTGCTGCTTGTAAATGAATTGTTTATTTACAGTTCTTTGGTAGAGTATGCAGGTAAGTTCCAGCCATAAGCAGTTCTGTGTTGTTTCCTTTGTTCCAGTGCATACATTAACAGAAAATAAGCCAGGAAAGTTTGGTCTTCTCTGATGAGAAATGCCATTTACCAGATTGGTGGTGTATGCTTACAGAAATATGTCCCAGTCACAGTTTTGTTATAGGGTTTTTGAGCAGGATTTTATCCCCTTGCCACATGCTTTGATATTTTTGTTGTTTTCTACATCAGAGCACATCCTGATCACAACAGTGTTGCTACACTTTTACACAAAACACAACCAGGTCATAAGTTCACAGCTCTGTGCTTTCATGTTTTCTGCTTGAGCACACCTAAATTGTAACCAACAAAATAGCCACTGAGTATTACCAGGAGGGAAATAGATCCATGCCTTCGGTTGCTCAAAGTAAATAAGAAAATCAAGTGTCAGATAAATTACACACAGCAGTCAGAACAACGTATTTTGACTCAAACAGCATCAGGCCTGGCGCTTAAGGAGAAGACAAAACACAGGGACTCAATTCTTTGAAATAAGGCTTACAGCTGCTCCAGCTTCAGCACACTAAGACAAGGGCCACGCTGAAATCTCCAGCACACTCGGAATGCTCTAGCTTCAAAACGTCTGTTTTCTACAATTCCGCATTGCCGGTGGAAAGGAGAGCAGAGCTGACTGCAATTCAGAGAACACGGAGGGAGCTGATCCCACTCAAGGCATCACTTCCCACTTCGCTGCCCACACCCAGTTCCCTGCTCAGCTCGAGTCTGCAGTACAAAACCCAACTGTTATTGTCCAAAATAACACAAACACTAACAACCAAAAATTAGCTTGTAAAGAGAATAGTAAAAACAATAGGGAGAATATTAAATTAGCACTGCGCGTTTTAATCGCTGTCTTTCACACCTGGCGTCACCCATTCAGTAAATAATGCCACACGTGACACAATCAAAGCCAATTTCTCAGCAGCCATGACGTTCCTACAGTTTAAAACAGGGGTACGTCGGCGTTACAGAAGTTACCGCAGCGCTACGCTTATCTTTAAGCACTGTGCTTGCTCCCGAGTTCAAAGCAAGGCTCCGTTTAAGCACCGTTTCTTCAGCAGCCCCAGCAGGAGCGTCCCGCGCTGCGCCCGGAGCTCAGCGCGGAGGAGTCAGAGCAGCTTCGCCGCAGCGAACTTCGCCAGCTCCGTACCGGCCACGTGCCAGCACGGCGTTATCTGATCGGTAACAGCTAACGTGCCACAGAAACAGCACATTTTTACCTTTCACGAGATATTCATTTATTCCCGAATCGAGTGGCATTGGTTTTGGTTCAGGGCTTTTGTTTATTTATTTATTTGCGGTGAAAAAAACAATACGTTGAAGCCAAAAATATTTTCAGACCGCGAAAAAATTAAGGAACAAGCAGATAAACACCAAAACCAGCCAGCCGGAGAAACAGCACCGACCTCCCAGCCCCCCCGCGGTGCTTACCGGGCCGTACAGTCGGGTCGCCGCAGCTCCGCAGGGCCGTGCAGCGCCGGACGCCGCTCTCACGCGCGCTCCCGCTCGGCTCGCGGCGCCGCCCCCCCACGCGCCTCCCCGAGCGGCCGCAGCGCCGAGCCGCCCCGCAGCCCTGCGCGTGCCTGAGGAGCTGCGCCGAGGTGGGAACGGGTTGGCAACGGACGAGTCCGAAGAGCGGGTCATCTGCGCGTTCTTTTTGTTGTTTTTCTTTTTTAATTTAAATGAAGTACTTCGCCTTTGGAGGCGCGCAGCACCGTCCCTTTATCCCGTTCCGGCGCTCCTTCCTGCAGGTAGGGCGCGCGTCAGCGGGAAGGCTCGCGCAACACGCTCGCACAAGCGGCTTACGCAAAGGAGCCCGTGACCAAGGACGTGACAGACTAAACTATTTCCTGCTCGGGGACAGCGGAAAGGCGACCTTCGGAGCGCCGGTTACCCGAAATGTAATGTAAGTGCCCTTCATGTACCACACCGACACGTCAGTCACACTCAGCACGGCGCCCCAACCCCAGCTCGGGCGGCGCGCTGCTCCGGGCTGCCCCGCAAAGAAGGGCTGTGACCTTGGAACGTGGTCCTGAGTAAACCACGGTGGTAATTGCAGAGGAAACCAGTAATTAGACAGCCTGAATTCATGCCACTAGTACTGTTTGGTCTCCAAGAAAAATAAAAGCATTTACACTGAAATGAGATTATCCTTGGATGTACTTGCTGTTTTACCCTGAACCATTCATTAAGAGCTGAACATCAGACTTAAGGAAGTTCATAGTGGTGCCTATGAACATACACCCCAAATCATGTTGAACACGTCGTACACAATGACAACAAAGTTTGGGCAAAAGGTAAACAAAAAAATCCCAAAGCTTAAAGAATAGCAATAAAATATTTGCGTCTTGCTCCTCCTTCCCATTCACAAACCTCCCAACAAAAGAAAAACACAACTTCGAGAGAAAAGAAATAATTTATTAGAGACTTCAAAAGCAAACTAACATGCATTTATCATGTAAGCCTTCTGACAAACATACTTGGAATCTTTAAGATGAGGAAGTTTATACTCTGCCTCAAGTACTTTAGAAATGCTCTACGCACAGTTCCAGAGTCCCGATGGTTGTACTGCTTCCTCCCCAGGCTTGAGAACTCGTGGATGGGATGGAACGCAAAAGGAACCTGGAACATCACAAAGGTGTGTTAACAGCGTGAACAACTAGATCCTAGCAGTGACATGCTTTCTTTTGACAACTAAATTGAAAGATGGTTGAGATTGTAAGACTTCTGAGTATCTGAAAAAAACTGACTTAGCAGGTACAGGATGTATTAGTTTTGTATTACAGTAAATGAAAAATGATAATGCAAATACAAAACGATAATAATAATAAAAAAATCACCATCACCAACACCACCTCATTGAAGAGAACAATCAAAGAAACAACAAAAATGTTAACCATGACTAATAATTCAATTCTGAACTCTGTAACTGCATTGTGAGGCACTGTTGGATTTTGTTGTTCAAAAACAAAAGACAAATGTACAAACTGAAAATCAACAGTTTCTCATACAGTAGGACAACAGTAATCAAATGTTGTAAGAACACATCAACCCTCCGATAACATTAATCGTGGCCTTGTGACATACTTTAAACCTAACGATTTATTTAAGAACGACATCCTCAGCTGTGAGCCCAGCACAGCTCCACACACACCAGTGAAACACTTCTAGCTCAGACAAGCTAAGGAACTGTATCAGAAATGAAATAAATGATATGACCTTTGAAGAGAAAGGTGAAAGCCACCTTTTAAGATTAGGAAAGTTCACTTCAACTATTCACCCAACAGATAACAGATAAAAAGAGATAACTCTTTTTTTTTTCCCCCCCCTGAAAAAGTTCTACTTTTAAATTGATAGATTAATTCAGGCTTTAAAATGCATAAGCTCCTCCCCAAACCTATTCTAGGTGAGAAATTAGAGGTGGTTGAGTGCTATAGGAAACATTGCACATAAAAGGATACAACAAGAAAGGATACACTCTGCATGACAGTATTATTGCAGTATATACGCAGGAATGTTTCTAAAGAAGAACAGCAGAATGTTGTTTAATTTTATTTAATTCTCAAGGTTGCACACACATTAAATTTATGCTGCCTATCATAAACAAAAAGGTATAACTTAATAAATATACTTTTGACCCAGTCTGGTGAACCCACCATCAGTAACTCTGTATTCAAAAGTAAATCCATCTTTTGATAACTTTAACTATACTTGACAACAGCAGATTCTTGTTTTATTAATTCTTCCTCAGGTCTTTGACATTTTACAGACTCACTTTCTCCATCAGATCCAAAACCCAAACACGCTTCCACTCAATGCAGGCTTTCAGGTCACTTCTTCTCTACAAAGAAGCTGATGACCTCTCAGCATCAGTTTCTTTTACATAATCCTTATACCAAAAAACTATATTTTACCCACAGAAAAATAGTCACTCCAAATGCTAACTGACATTTTTGTCATTCATCAAGAAAAAGGCATTTCAGTTAGCAGTAAGTCACACTGTTTTTATAAACCATTGTGTGTTGCTTTCTCTACCAAAGAAACAATATTTGTAGAGAAAGTAATAAATAATGTTTATGAATTAATCAACAAGTTCTTAATTCAATTTTCTTACAGAAGAAAAAAAAACTGTGATACAAATCATACTTCAAATTCCCCAGGTGTCTGCATGGATTTCGGATTTATATAATGGAATTCCGCATCACAAATTAGCATTTATCAGATTATTCCAGCAGACACAGGAAAACACATTCGATGCAGAAAAAGGGTTCTGCCTCATCATTAGCGTGCAAGTAATTTGTGATCTGTAAAGGAATGATTTGTACTTAACCTAGGATTCTTAGGGATTTCAATTAGTCTGTGGCGCACGATGTGACTGTCACATATAAACATCGAAGGCGTGGAAGAAGTCCTGTGCACCATTTACTAAAGCCATGAAACTGAAGCAACCCACGCAGGCTTTCAGATGTACAGGTATGTCTTGAGCGCTTGCTCATTTTAAAAAAAAGCTTCTGAGTTGATCATCAGTATGATTAATAATATAGTAAGCACCTGGTTATTTTCTTTCTGCTATTCAAGTATTATTTAGCATGTTTAGTAAAGTCAGAATCAAATTTAATGCATTAAGCTGGTTGGAAATACATGACATGCCAGAATTACAGTTCAGAGTTCACATACAAAAGCTTTCCACCAGTTAAAAATACTTCAAATTTCCTTTTTCCATTTAAAACAACTTTAATAACATTCTTATCACATCCTGGAGAAAATATAACTAATACTTTTTATTTAACTAGGAAGGAATAAGAAAAAAATTGAAACACTTCTGCACACCCTCGTTTCTCACAGCTCAAAATCAAGGCTCATTCGTCTGCTTTCAATAAACAGTACGGAAAAACACCTGTAAGAACAAGTCATCTTTTATGAAATAAAAGATAGCTATTTCTAATAGAAATACTACCCTCACAATAACAATACCAAGGGAATGAAAACAATTTTTTAAAATTAAAATCAGTTGTTCACATTTCAAACTTCAGAATTGTTTTTTTTTTTTTTTTTTTTTAAGTATTTTTTTTTTTTTTTTCTAAATAATGACCAAGACATTCAGATTAAGAAACATAAAGGAGTAAGCAGTACTTTTCTAAAGCACTCAACCGAAGCTTTAAGTTCTGAGGTAAGGAGATGGATAACCAGAGTGACATTCAATCATAACATGTAATTCAGATAAAATGCTCTTCAAATTTGAGCTTGCTACTTTATCAGAGTGCAGGCTGAGAACTGAGCGTTTCTGTGGTAGCATCTGAAGTAACTGGTGCAAATCTGAGACAGTTCACAACCCAAATTTTTGGAGGCCACAAAAATTCCCACAATTTTGCTTCAGTTACTTTAGCATAAAGCAAATACTTAAGAGTAAGCGCTAGTGAAGTAAAGATGTACGATATGAAGTGATTACTTTTAGCAGAAAGTTAATTTCTCATCAATTTAGACAAATGTTAATATCAGCACTTGTGCACTCCGTAGCAAAGCAAGTCTCAATTACTGCATTATTAAGTAACACTTTCAGAAACACAAACATTTCCTAAATCAGACAAGCTTTAGAGATGCTGCAGTAGTAGTACTAAGATCTCATTGACAGAGGTGGCAGAAGCAAGTTTATTGCTGAAAACGGGTATCTGACACAGCTTTACAGCATGCATGGTCTGAGTAAGGACAGGAAAGGGCAAAGCTGCCACTCCTGTTGAAGCCAAAATCCCAGAACACTACTAAAAACGTAAGTGCTCAAATTCCATGAAGTCATTCTCCCTAAGTTCCAATCTCCCAGCATTAAGGATCAGAAAATACAGACAACTATCCTAGGATCTCAAGATAAGGAAAATAATAGACTCCAGGTTTCTAAACAGAGAAAGAAGCAATCTTTAATCTTAAACCAACTGCACATCCTGCAAACTGGTTTCCTGACAGAAGAGCTCATTTAAGAAAAGAACACTGTATGGAGTATTTCTCTTTCACTGTCACTACTCCTAAAGCAATTATAAAAAAATAAAACAAAAAAAGGCAACAAAATGAAATACAAAACCCTGTAATTTTTAGGCAAAGAATCCATACCTTTTGCTATGTTCTACTTTTTTCTTTTCACTTCATTGGAATCCTGCTTTGGTCTAGCTGAACGAGCAAATTGCTGAGGTTCTGTTAAGGACTACAAGTGTCGACAATAAACACAAGTCAATCAAGAAGCAACACAATCCTAGTCAAAGATAGGACCTCGCTGATCTGCAGCACGCTTCAAGAGAGCATATCCTAGAGCTCATAAAAAACTGGAACATTTGGAACATTTAATTCAGCAATAAGAAAGGATGCGAAAAGATTTCAAACTAAAACAACAGGGCAATCCAATCAAAGAAGTGTAGAAACCCCAACACGATACATATGCCCCCAAAGTAACTAATTTGTATGCAATTATAAAAAAAAAAAAACAACAAAACAACAGCCAACCAAGAAAACAAAACAA